TGACGCAGGTATTGTACACAGGTAAGTTGGGGAACTAGGGATCGAGCCCTGGGATCTGCCTCAGCTACCACGAATTGGTGAATACCGTTTCATTCTTCTTCTTCGGAACAAAATAAATAATTGATGTGGATCGTTGTTGTTGGAATGCGTAGGGGGTCGGTGGCCATTCAAACGGGAGAAATTGCTGAAGACATAACATTTTATTTGGCGGAGAGCGAACAGGTACGTTCTTGCACATGCTCCTGCAGTTAAAGCAGATGTGCTTAAGTCCATAACATAAGATCAACCGCAAGTGATGAAGGGGACCATTCGATGACCGCAACTTCTTTTGTTTTCAGTCACTCAGTGAGATAAAATTCAAGGAAAAATGGGAGTTGCGGAAAGCCAAAACATCACAAAACACACAATCTCTGCATGAGTTTGTTCACAAGTCTTGATTCTCGGATCTCACTTCAAACAAAAAACAAAAAACAAAAAAAAGGCACGTTTTTAAACCGGCTGTGCATTGCGTGCAATGGCCCAGATAAAATCGCCTGTCTGTGATACCTGCAATTTCTGAGAAAATGGCAAAGTGATGTCCTTTTGACCTATTTTCTGAGGATTCGGAGCTAGAGTCTGTTCTGCTGTGATTTGCTGTTGTTTCTAAGTGTGAGTGTGTGTGTGACCTGCCGCTCACGTGCATGTGCCGTGCGCTTGCCTGACAGACCACGTCTGGGTCCATTGTGCTGGCCATGTGTGTGTGGCTGTGCCTCAGACAGGGACAAGGTAGGGATAGAGAACTGAAAGTTAGTAGCGGGAGGATATGCTGGGGGGTAGTTTAGCCCCCAGGGACATAAGTAGAACTGGCTACAGTAGGGACCATACTTGCAAGCAGACGGACCGGACGAGCGTCCGATCCAGTCCGCTTTGCCGCGTGCGGCACCCTCCCCCCAGACCGGACGGACCCGGACCGGACCGGACGGGGGCGTTTTTTTTTTTTGGGGGGGGGGGGGGGGGGGCGTAACTGGTCGTCGGGCGCACATTCGTGCGCCGCACGGGTCCGGTCCGGCGGTCTGCCGCACGTGCGGAACCGCACGGACGGCGTCTGCTTGCAAGTATGGTAGGGACATAGGTAGAATTCGGACATAGGTAGAGTTGGCCAGATACATAAGGAGAATTGGCTGGGGACGCGGTAGGGATTTTACCGGTAGGATTGGCTATGGACCCGCTAGGGACATAGGTAGAATTTGGCAGGGCCTGCAAAGGTCCAGTAGCTTACCTGTAGGTAATGATGGTCCAGGGGCCTGAATGTGTGCGGGAAGTAGTCTAGGTTCAGGGCCTGTAGGATGGTTTCAATCTGTAACGATATTGCTGCCAAAAGGAGGGAACACCCGGCAGGCCTATTGCACCCAAGGGAGGCGGGTAAGAGGACCCGGCTAAAAAGACCCGGCTGAGGTAGCAGAGGCTGGGAGGCAGCATGTATATCATTCGGTGCAATGAGCATTCAACCAGCACTCATGCTGCCGCTCCGCCAAGAGGACCCGACTGAGATCGATTGACAATGTCCTTGTGGTACATCTTGGGTCCTTCAAGGACACAACGTGGGACACTGGGATTCAGTTTCATTCATGTCCCACAAGCTGGAACTCGTTTTCATTCATGACCCACAAGCTGGGACTCAGTTTCATGCATGTCCCACAAGCTGGGAGTCAGATTTCATTCATGTCCCACAAGCCGGGACGCAGATTTCATTCATGTCCCACAAGCCGGGACTCAGTTTCATTCATGTCCCACATTTTGGGTCCTTCAAGGACAAAATGTGGGACACTGAGCATCCACAGTTGATACAGCAGAGCATTGGGATTCCGACGGGAGCACAAGAGCGAGGCCCCCTCTGGCCAATGTACTTTGTACTTTTGCAGAGCAGCAGTTTATCACATCACTTGGGAAGTTGGGAGTGATGTACATTGGCGGTGGCAGGTTTGTGGACGGTCTTTTGGTAACTGGGTGGTATGGTATGGAGCACATATACGGGGAGGCGAATCTGAAACGCAATTTGGACAAAATAGAAGGTTCATATCACCCGGATCTGACTCTTGAAAGAACGGATGGAGGGAATGCAGCGCTGGAATTCCTAGAAACAAGTCCGGTGATCACGGACAGAGCAGCTTGGATCTGTTCTTCGACGATGCGGCAACCCCGGTGGTCTTCCTCGACGTAGCGGCCCTTCTCTCTCCTGGTGGCGATCTCCTTCGGCGCGCGGCGATCCACGGGGAGCAGCGCGAGCAGGCAACGTTCGCGGGCGCGCAATCAATAGTGGGGTGCGTACGGGATAAGGGATGGCGCGTGCAGAGCAACGGGGCGCAGGGTAATAGCGCGCACAAGTGCACAAATCCCAACGCGTGATCTTGGCACGCAACGGGAGCAGTGTAGCAGAACGGGGGGGGCGGTGGGGGGGCGGGTAGGCGCGGATAATCTAGCGCGCACTCCGGATGGCTGGCGCGCAGTGGGAAACTATGGCGTGTGAGAGTGCGCAATCTTGCACGCGGCAGCGGCGTGTTACGTGGCGGTCCGGCTGACGTGACTCCTCTCTCCACCTCTCGGCGCAAACAGCGACGACACTTCTCCTCCCTATCTTAGCGGCGCTGGCTGACGTAGCGCCGTTCTCTTCCTGCTGATGTGGCACTTGGTGCCTCCGTCCTTCTCAGCGCCTTCTGGTGACGACGACGACGACGATGGTGGCTTGTGGCAGAACAGCTCAAACCAGCTCGATACCAGTGCAATCAGACTTGTCTTCTTCGATACTCAGTATGCGTGCAAACAGATGACGATCAAGCTGGCGACTTGCGCCCACACAAAGCTCAGAGATAACATAGCCAGGAACACAGTTCAGATTCAAACTTGTCTCAATCGGCTACGGCGCCTGGCGCCAGACAAAACTCCCACTCGATCGACTGTATCCCCACGCAACTCGTTCACACACATACACTCCCTGGATCTCCCTGGATGTCCCGCACACACACACACACCAGTCTGAACACACACACGCACTAACCTTGTACCAGGAAGCTATGGCTGCCGTCTACCTCCTAACTGCTAACAAGCGGCTATGGCCGCGTCTTCCTCCTCTTAGCCCTCTTCTTCTACGGGCATCTGCAGACCTCCATACACAAGACGCACAGACAGCGCTTCCGCGTGGCTCACAGGCAGAATGAATGAATGACTTGACGCTGCCTCTTTATTTATACTTCGGATCATCAAAGGTCTGCCCTTTGACCCTGGGCCCGGGGTGTGCACAGTCCCACATGGTACTTGCTGACTGGACAAAGTGCACCTTGGGACCGGGTACCGCTGACTGGGCTAGGTAGGACTAGGACTGCCCTTTGCTGACTGTGCTAGGACTGCCCTCTGCTGACTCAGACGCGGACTGATCCTACTACTCATGAAATGCCAATTCCAGAACTTCCGGATGGTCGTGGACTTGACCATTCGGAACTGTAGCAGCTACGACCTAAGCTACCACTAAGACCTCTAAGACTCAGACCTACGGTTCAAGACCCAACGACCACACTATCTACAACGACTAAACAGACGACTTGCAGGATGCAGGTCGCGGGTTCAAACACAGACGGGTCAACCGGTACTGTACATGGGTGAGGGTGAGGTCTAGGGATCGAGCCCTGGGTACTGCATCTGCTACCGTAAAGGTGAAAACCGTTTCACTTTTCTTTTTTTTCTTCTTTCTTTGAGATCGCTGATATGAGGTGAAAGATTTTTGGGCGCCGCCGACAGCAACGGGTGGTACCCTCGATCGGGAACCGCCTGTGGCTAAAGTAAGCGAGAAATGTTTTTACCGTACGGCGAACGGCCACATGGGATGTAGCTACAGTGGGACTTTTTATCTGCCGAAGAGTAGATATAGTAGGTAGGCGAATTGGGAGAGCTTCTGCTCTCCACCTGAGCAGCAGGAGCGAAGGGTTGGGTGTCGGAGTTTTGTGCCCGACTCGTGAAGGTGTTTTGGTTGTTGTTGTGATATGTAGCGTCCAAAAAACACCTTTTGTTGTTTATAATATAATCAGTTTCATTCATGTCCCACAAGCTGGGACTCAGTTTCACTCCTGTATCGGCGTCTGGCAAGCTGGGAGTCAGTTTCCTCCATGTCCCGCAAGCTGGGGCTCAGTTTCATTCATGTCCCCAAGCTGGGACTCAGCTTCATTCATCCCCCAGAAGTGGGGACTCAGTTCCATTCATGTCCCCAAGATGGGACTCAGCTTCATTCATGCCCCAGAAGTGGGGACTCAGTTTCATTCATGTCCCCAAGCTGGGACTCAGCTTCATTCATGCCCCAAGCTGGAACTCAGCTTCATTCGAGCTGGGACTCAGTTCCATTCATGTCCCATAAGCGTGTCCCATAAGCCAGGACTCAGTTTCGTAGCGACAAGCGAGTGATGATCACTTTCCATTCTGTCTCTTATACACATCTAGATGTGTATAAGAGACAGGGACTCAGTTTCACTCCTGTATCGGCGTCTGGCAAGCTGGGAGTCAGTTTCCTCCATGTCCCGCAAGCTGGGGCTCAGTTTCATTCATGTCCCCAAGCTGGGACTCAGCTTCATTCATCCCCCAGAAGTGGGGACTCAGTTCCATTCATGTCCCCAAGATGGGACTCAGCTTCATTCATGCCCCAGAAGCTGGGAGTGAGTTTCATTCATCTCCCTCGAGCTGGGACTCTGTTCCATTCACGTCCCATAATCCAGCACTCAGTTTTGTAGCGACAAGAGCGTGATGATCACTTCCGTATGCTCCACAAGACACTGGGACTTTGAGAACTTTGCGGCAGAAGCTGGGACTCAATTCCATTCATGTCCCTTCATTGGCATTTCCTCTTTTTTTCCACATTTCCTCTCTTTTCCACATTTCGTCTTTTTTTTCCCCCTTCGCTTTGCAGAACTTTGCAGCAGAAGAAGTTTTTTTTTAACCATGTTCCTCTCTTTTCCTTTGATATATGGGTCGGTTGATTTGTCACTCTCACTCTCTTTTCCCCTCTGCAATATGAAGTTTCGAGCTTTTGATTAATTTAGGTTGTGTTATGTGCTTTCCCTGCTACTTGGTGGTTTTGGGGGTTGGCTTGTGACATCTGTTGCAGACAAACTCAGCCATTGGATTAGGTGTAATCGTCGACAAGAGTGGCTCTGTGACCTCTGCTGCAGGTTTTATGGTTCAGGTATTACCTTTGTGTTGATTTTCTCTGCAAGCAAGGGAGTAGTTACTCTACCGGTAGGACGTTTTCGCCCGAATGTTGCTGCAATTGCCGTCAGATACGTGCAGGGAAGTCCTAGTGTGAATATTCCCTAAGCTGAAAGTAAAACTGCAGCCTCAGTTTTTTTTTTGTTTTCTTTCTCCTTTTCTTGTTGGTCTTTAACACCCTTCAAACCACCACTACTGGATGGTAAATATTCAAATTTACAACAGAAGAAGAATGTTCATCGAGTACGTATCAAAAACAAGCCGCAGGCTGGTCGGTACATCAAAGTAATGGTCCCTGGATATGGGGCCGCAGAAAAACTGGAAGGCCTCGCCGGTACCGTGTTTTAACCACTGCAATATACCATCGAATTCTTCCTCGGCCTTTTTTTTTCTTTTTCTTTTTTTTCTTTTTTTTTTTATGAGCCTAAGTTGAGGAAGCTGCCTTCCACGGCTGGCGAGGCTGCGACTGCGCATTTTCAAAGTGGCCTTCTGCTTGCGCTAACGACACAGGCCCAAAGCCAGGTAGCTCGTACTGTGTACACCGGGAAGAGCAGTACTTAGGTTCATGTGAACTGGTGGTTTAAACTTTACAGATGATATATATAGTCAAACAGAGCTGCCGATGGTAAACCGTAGGCAGAGAGGGAGAAGAGGACAATAAACAAGGGCTGTGACAAACACTGTTTCGTCGGAGTTTCACCGACCAACTCATCAGGAGGCTGAACCCTTGACAGTCTGCAGAATCCCCTAACTGATTACACTGTAAGTGATAACCCGCCTTAACCCCAGCTTTGGTTAAGCATCAACGACTGTCCGACAACTGATACCCCTCTGAGGTGGTGGGGACCACCAACCACTGCCCTCAAGGTACCTGTTACGAAAATCAAAGCAGACTATCACTCACCCACACCGGATGGAAAAAATTCTACAGACTGTCGGTTCACACCCCATCACAAGCAAACAAAACACCCACAAAACAAAGAAAGGTCTGTCACAGCCAAAAAATACACTCCAGACACGCTGCTGGCATATATATATATATATATATCACAGCCCCTCGTTTGTTGTCCTCTTCTCCCTCTCTGCCTACGGTTTACCGGGCAGTTCTATTTGACGATATATATATATATATATATATA